GGGAAAGAGAAAGGGAGCAAGCAGTTAGGGGTCCACAGTTTTGAGCCCAGTGACCAGGTGGGGTACTCACCGAGACAGAGAACATGAAAGAGTTCAGTGCAAGGAGTGTAAAGTTAGCAGGGTTTGTGCAGAAACTTCCAGGGGAGAGTTCTAGGGGACAGCTGGGTGTATGAGCATGGGGCCTGAGAGAGAGAGGACATTTGCTAGTTTAAACATGTAGATTGAGTGACCAAGATGGATCAGAAATGGAAGAAGCCAGGACTGGGGCTGACCGCCAAGGCTGGAGTCAGGACTGAGAAGTTGGTCTGTGGCCACAGGTCAGACCTCAGCCTCGGGGAGCCCAGACATCCCTGCGTCCAGCCCTGTTCCCAGTCCTGGCTGTGCGCAAGGTGTCTGACTTGGGCAGCCTGCTCGAACCTTTTCCTTGTGTCCCATAGCTGCTACCTGATTGTTCGTGCCACATCTTGATCAAGCTACATATACAGCATCTATCTATGATACTATGGACAAAGAAGGGGACACATACTAAACCTGACAAGCTCAGGGGAGGCCAGCATGGTGGGCCCTACAAACTCAGAGACTGAAATTAACCATAAGATGGTTTAACTCAGAGACTGAAATTAACCGTAAGATGGTTTGAACATAAAAATTCCTAACTAAAAGCAGGTCAGGGCGGGTAGTCACATGTAGGCCTGTAGCTTCATTGACAAAGGTCAGTCTTCACCTTAAGTGAGCCTGTCTACTGTCTTTTTGCATCTAAGATAACACCTTTAAAAATGTCAGAGTAATCTCCTTTCCCATCCTCAGGGCACAACCACCCACCAGAGCACAAGACCACAGAACCCTCATTGTTATCTTGTTTCCCACACACCATCTCTATGTGCTGTATCCCAATGTAAAAGAAGTATGTGTCTCTGTTTTACTTTTTATCCAATATCAGAGATACCCCGCCCCCTTGGCTTTCTCCCACCCCCTTAATCTACCACCTGTGGATTTCATGTAACCCTTCTTATGTCTCCTCCTTTTATTCTAATGTATAAAATAAATCGCAAAACTGCCATTCTCCAGAGCATTTTCTCAATCTGTTAAGTTTTAATTCCTGGCAATTGTCAGTTTGGCTAAAATAAACTCAAAAATTCTCTACAAGTTTGGACGTTTCTTACATTGACATTCCAACACTGATCGACAACCCTATAAATGATTTCACATTCTTATAACCACCCAAGAAGATAGGTTGCACTACTTGATCCCATTTTGCAGGAAGAAAATATTAAAGTCCAGATAAGTGAAGTGACATCATAATATGATATAATTTGCCAGTTAGCACAGCTGAGAAGGGTTTGGGTTCCCAACCACACCTTTCTGCTCTTCCACGACGCAAAACTGAACAGACATTAGCATCAATTCCAGTTATGACACCAGGCCTCGACCCTTCCAATCCCAGCCAAGCAGTCCCCCACCCCCACACACCCAGCAGCTGGGCTGAGGGAGTCCCTCAGCCAAACTGGGTGCATCCTGCCAGCACCCCCTTGCAGCTGTCTGCAGCGGGGAAGCCCTGAGCAGCCACTTCCTTCCGGGATGCTTCCTGTCCAAACCTGGTGGCTGCAAAGCCTCGCCGCCTGCTGAGTCAGCACCCCTCCCTGCTCCATTCATAAAGGAACCCTTGGCCAGCACCACATCCTGCCTACAAGGGCCACCACCACAGCCCACAGGAAAAGCTAGTGGCCTGCCATGCCTGCCTGTCCCCAAAGGAAGCACCCAGGACTAAGGATTAAGAAGCTCTCAGATTCCAAGTCTTCCTTCCTCACTTTTACTTGCAGACAAACCAAGGGCCTATCTGTTCTTCCCAGGCGCCCTCCCTCACTCTTCCTCCTGCTGCTCATGCCTGCTATCTCCCACCCTGGCCTGTGTGACCATCTCCCTTTGACCCTCCTGCCACCCTCCTCAATGGCCCTGTTATCTCCACTCTGTCACCACCATCAACCCCATTTTCTATAGTGCTTCCTCTTGGGACTCAAGGCAGGAACCCTTCTCCCTGCTTAAGAACTTCCTGTAGCTCTTCGTTTCTTACCCAAGTTAATCCATTGTCCCCTGCCCAGTACTCAAGACCTTTCTTATGACTGGCTCTTCCATACATCAAGCTAATTCCTGCTATGGGGTTTTACTCCCCAGGGGAATGACTGCCGCCTTTGTGAATGTGGGAGATCAGGGAGTGCCTCTCTCCTGATCAGACCTATCAAGCCCCTCCAAGAGCCAAACTGTCCTTCCCTCCAGTGGAAAGATGAGGAATGTCTGATGGGTGAGTGTTGGGCTTGCTGCCTTTGACTCCTTTCTTAGACTCTGGATCTAAGAAAGTTCCCACCTTTTTGGCTTACTCTGGGGAGAAGCCTGACAGCCCAGAACCTAGGAGACCTGAGAATTCCATAGCACCCAGAGGCTCCATCACAACAACTGGGCCCCCAAGAGCAGAAGGCAGAAGGGAGAAACACATCTGGGAGAAGAAGTGCTGCTCAGGGAATGGGAACATGGCCCAGGAACAGAAAGCCAATCACTGCTCGTGGAGACAGATGGGCCATCCCATACACAGAGTTTCACTAGAGGCACAGACCTCATGCTGCATTCACATCACCCTGCCTATCTCTTCTACAGAGGGGAATTCTCACCCTCAGACTGGACCTGCCCAGCAGTCAACATGCGCCACCCCTCCCAATGAGTCACCAGCCAGCCGGCCCTTTTTCTTCCTCCTCTTCCCCGCTCCCCTGTCCCAATCCCAGCCATATGTGGGAACTCCAAGGAGCCCTGCCAGAAAAGACAGGCATGTCTTGGGTTTCCCAGAGAAGCAGGAGTGAGGGGCCCAGGCCACCTTTGACCTGAGGGTGCAGCAGGCGCATCCAATTCCAGCAGAGATAGAGCCTCAGGGAAGCTCCTGAGAAATGACCCAAGATGTGCCCCCACAAAACCAAAACCAAAAACAAGGGCTGAGATTGAGCTCTATATCAAGAAGTCTTGGACATGGGGATACCGAAGAGGGACTCCTTGCCCCCACCATGACCACTAGCAGCACCTCATATTCTCCTGTCTTGCTTTCACTTTCTACAGGGGCTGCTTGGGCAACACTTCCCGCAAAGAGGACAAAAAGAGTCAAGCCATATAACCAGTGTGAGGCTATGCTAACAAGCAGAGCACAGAAGCACCGCTGAAAATAGCAGTTAAGCCTCTGGATCCAGCTATGCCTGAAGCACACTGCACACGTACTGCACAAACTTCACAGGTATTTGAGCCAATCTTTTTTTTTTTTTTTTTTTTTTTTTTTTTAAGCCTGTTTGAGCTAAGTTTCTATTACTTTCATTTGAAAGAGTCCTTGAATATACATTCATTCATGCGTTCAGTATTAGGCAGGTACTGAGGACAGAGAGATGACTAAAATCAAGGAGCCTGCATTCCAATAAGGAAGGTGGAAATGCACAGAAATCACTGCAGTTCAGTATAGTGTACTATTGAAGATGTGGTGAGGGCTACTTGGAGGTACCTCAGATATATAATAACCCTAAAGCTGAGTCCTGAAAAATGATTTGCACTCCCCAGGTAGACAGACTAGAAAGGTGACCCCTCCCATCCTCAAGAGACTTGTCCTCCTGGTACTGCCTGTCTGCCTCTCAGACAGGTAGAGATCATTTTGAAAAGGTAGAGAGTGAGCCCAAAGTTTGGAGTGCTAGTCCTAGCTCTGACACTTTGCTGTACAGTCTTAATACATGACTTCCCCTTTCTATGCTCAATGTTCCCACCTATAAAAGAAGAGCTTTGCTGGATGCTAGTAGAACTTCATTAGCATGTTAAGACTTTGGGTACTATATCCCTAAGGTCCAGTCAATTAGCTGCCACACAGGTCACATTGAAATGTACAAAATCACTGTGACAGAAACCACCAATGTTCCCTTTACACCTAATCTCTTCCTTTTCTGTAAAATTTTTAGTTAAGTGCATGGCCACTCAGCTAAATACTACAGATCCCAGCCTACCTTGCAGCTAGATGTGGCCATGTGACCATTTTCTGGCTAATAGTATGTGAGAGGAACTGAGGTGTACAACTTCTGGGTCATGCCCTTAAAGAGAGGGCACATACCCTCTAATTTCTCTTCCCCCTTCCTACTGGCTGGAACACAGATGTGGGGAGACATCTGGGGCCAAGCTGCGAAAGGCAATATACCCTAGAGACTACAGAGTGGCAAGACAGAAGGCCCCTGAGGGGCTGCAGTACCAGCCCTGGGCATACCTGGGACTGTCACATGGGTAAGAAATAAACACCTATTTTAGCTTAAGTCACTTTAATTTGGGGTCTTTCTTACAACACCTGAAGTGACTAACTCAGAGAGCCATCCCTCTCTTACTTTCCCTCCTTCTCTCCCGACTCTTCTCATCCCATGAAAATTGCCACTGCTCAGCGCAGCAAAAGAAACCTCATCTAAAATAGGTATTTCAAAATATGAAGTGGACACCATCTCCTCAGAGTCACTTAGTGATGCCTGGCC